AGCAGAATTCATAGATGCAATAAAATATTCATTTGGCCTATGAGGAACATATTGTTGGATACTCATTGATGCGAGACTTTCGCGAAGCGCAGTTTCTTGTTTACGACAAACGCAATTCTTCATCATTTGAACTGATTATTTTTCCATTGCAATTGTGAAAAAAAAATTATTTGCGCCAAATCCGAAGCGTTTGAACTAAACCAAAATTGAATTGTATAAAATCGATTTTGTCGCAAAAACAAGTATTTTCTAAATTCGATAGAATAAACAAAATATACTATACTATAACAAAATCGATTTCATACAATCCAATTTTGGTTTAGTTCAAATCGATATTTGTGTCTTACAATAGCATTTTCTTTTGCGACTATTCAATCGATGAACGATTTGGATCAATCATAGAATTTCTATTTCTTAGAAATTTTTTTTCTCAGTGTAGGGGCGGGTGGGGTAAAATGAACACTTCAGACTTTTTTAAAATTATTCATAACTCAGCAACAAATTGATCAATTGAGCTTAGTTTAGGCTCGTCACAAAGGGAAAGAATTGTTCTTTGTATTGAAAAAAAAAAATTATCAAATTGTATCAACATTTCAACCCCTCATTAACATTTAAAAAAAGTCAAAAGTGTCCGTTTTACCCCAATCTCCCCTACGTAAAGTTCTATTTTTCACACGCACGTGTAACACATCCTACACTGAGAGAAAAACGACAAAGTTCTCAAACAAGTCTTACTTGTGCCAAGAAAATAATTTTTAGAAAATGATCAAAAAATGATTTTTTTGTGCCAAACATGCGGAGCGTGCGCCGAAATGAAAAATTTTTGTCGCAAAAATAGATTTTGTAGTTGAAAAAAAATTACATTCTCTGTACACACAAGAAATGTCATTTCTAGCACTACTCCTTCATTATTCGATACTCCCATACATATTTTGCTCCCGAAAAATCTCTGTTTTATGGGAAACAAGGGATAGTAGTTTTTCGTTTCGGCTGTCTAATAATCACAGACAAGAAATGAACCCTCAAATGAAACAATAATAATGATATGATAGCAATCTTGTAACTTAAGGATAAAATATTTGTTGAAAAATTTTCCTCTATATGAGGTGTTTTCATCCTGAAAAGGCACCGTCTGGTGTGAATTATCCGCCTCTTGAACCAAATATTTCGTTGCTGTCGAAAGCAGAACAATTATTCATGTTTGAGACTTTCAAATTCAAACCAAACAATAGTATATTGTGCATCAAGGGCGGAAAGTCATGTTTTCCCGCCCGAGGGGCACATGCTATTTTCCGTCCCGGCGGGCGCAAAGTTACATTTCCCTCCCACGAAGCGCGAGGGAAATCGCCTTCGGCTCGGCTGGTAATTGCACTGGCGGTTGAGGATCCTTTATTTTCCCTCCCTAGGTTAGAAATATACTATTTTAACACGCCTGCAAAGGAAAGTTCGTATTTAGCTCTTTGATGAGCGGGCGGAAAGTGAGTACTTTCCACCCGAGGGCGGGAAGTTCTCACTTTCCTCCCGCTCATCAGGGAGAAAAGTACGAACTTTCCGTGCAAGTGTGTGTAAAAAGTGGTTTGTCCCCGTGGGAGGTGTATAGTGCTCGCCGAAGGCGAGTGCGACTCTCCCAAGAGTTAAAGAACACTTTTCCCAAGAGTGTCGACCCCTATTTTTCATCACAAGGTGGGGAAAATGGGATTTGGCGTAAAATTTTAATTGGCACAAGTGATGAAAACCTATTTTTTCCGCACATAGTGATGAAAAATAGGGTTCGACACTCGTGAAAAAAGGGCTCTATGGCTCGTGGATGGATATCACGATACACCTCCCACGGGTCAAAAAACACTTTTACGCACTTGTATTGAAATAGAGTATTTTCAAGCAAGAATAGTTGTTGAATTAAGAACCGTTGGGTTTTCAGTTAAGGACGTTGGAAAGGGATAACGTTTTGGAATAACGCAATTTTAATTTAGTCAAGACGTGGGGTGATATGTTTTGAGTAACATAGTATCCAGAAAAAATCATCAATTCAAGAACGAGAATTTTCTTCATTCGAAAACTCGCATTATTTTGAAAAACTCATGATTCTAGAAGCTGTTGTATTGAGAATAAAAATTGGTTACTTAAATTCAGAAGAAAAATCCCTAAAATTCAGCATCGAAAACCTACTCATTTTAAGTGACAAAAGTTGTTGAATCAAGAGCGATTGGGTTTTTAAATTAAAAACTTTCGAAAAGGATGAAATTCTGGAATAGTCGGACATTAATTGAGTCACGGTGTCAGGTGACATACTTTGAATAACAAAAGGGTTATGAACGTGAGTAGATTGTTATAGAACAGAAAAAATCACCAATTCAAAGAGAAAAATGGTCTTGATTTGAAAACTCGCATCATTTTGAGAAAATCATGATTCTAGAAGGCATTATATTGAGAATAAAAACTGATTACTTAATTTCAGAAGAAATATTCCTAAAATTCAGTATCAAAAACCTACTTATTTCAAATAACAAAAATTGCTGAATCAAGAGACTTGGGTTTTAAAATTAACAACACTTTAAATATATGAAATTCTGAAATCGTTGAACATTCTATCAAATAACACTTGTTTTTAGAACTGTCGTTTTACTCTCAGTGTATAGTACGCATCATTCTAATAGTAACTTCACTAACAATTTATGGAATGTTCACGAGGGAATGAAGAAAAAAACAACTAGAATAATTGAAATTAGTTGTTCATCATCAAAATACGAGAAAGAAAACTCCTGTCATTGATTGTTTTCACCTCACAATAATTTTCTTTCAGTTTCTGTCAATTTTTTGTATTTCTTTATGCCAGTTCAGATACTTGCCTATTAAATCCTGTACCCTATTCCCCAGAAATTCACCACGAACGGTGACTCTAGTGCCTGGAGGACCTTCCTTAGGGGAAATCCCAGTTACAACAGGAGGTGGAACCATTCTCGTTCAAAAATTGACAAAATTAACAATAAGAATAAATTAAGTCTTATGACAGCAGTCAACAACACTCTTCTAGCTCGAAATATCCCTCGCTGGGTTCCCTTGTCAAACTCATGATAGAGTTTATGAGGAATTTTATGACTGATGAGCACGATCACGCCCACATTTTGTGTTCTGCTCCAAGATAATTGCTGGATATTTATTTGGAGATTTAGGAAACATTTGTTTTGACAGGTAGGTCGTGGCTGGGTTAGGTTATGTGCACAGTTGGCAGAGTGGTGGCGCTGAGGCGAATAATAATTATGGTAACGAAAATAAGTTCCGTGGAGTGATGGTAGATGGCGAGGAGAGGCAGGAAATTTATAAATGCTCGCAAAGTATTGACGATTTGAAATTTACTGTTTAGGGAATGTTTTTGGAATGAAGCGGTTTAGGTGAATTTAACAAATGACCTTTTTGCTTCCGAATGGAAGCATTGCATTCGTCGGAGTTTGACATTCTCTAATTTTGCCTGGAAATTATGTAGAATTGTATGAAACGTGAAGAAATTATATTTTTAGAAAATGTCTGTATGTTCGGGCCTGATAGTTCGATTTTTGGGTGATTACTTTTCAGAAAATATGATATTAATACGGTGTAGTTTATTGATAAACATATGAGATTTTTGCCTATAATAGGTACTATTGAGCACAACTTCGGTGCACAGCTTCAGCCCGATTGGTCCAGTAGTTCCTGAGATATTCTACTTTTTGTATAAAACTATTTTGGTCAATATCTCAAAAACTACTGCACCGATTTCAATATTTTTTTAAAATGCTCCTCTCCACGTCCTCTATCTAGATCAATCGGAATATGTATAGTCGTCCAAACGAAGTTTTCGAGATATTGACTATTTTCGATTTTTTCTTTAAATTCCTAGTTCGCACGATAACTTGAGGAAAAATTCTGATAGGAGTTTGAAATTCAGTGGGATTGTAGCTCTTATAATGCCAAAGATTGGTATTTCGGCTGGGCGATGTCGGTCCAGTACTTCCTGAGATATTCCACTTTTCGGAAAAAACTATTTTGGTCAATATCTTAAAAACTACTGCATCGATTTCAATATTTTTTTTCAAAATGCTCGTCAGCGTCTTCTATATAGATTGATCGGAATACGCACAGCCGTCCATACGAAGTTTTGGAGATAAGAAAATATGAAATTCGTGATGTATTACATTTTTCATCTGTATAAATTTTCTGTATGGGTGCATGAGAGTGAAACATGCTCAGATGACATAAGCATCCATTCGGAAGTATACTACCAATTCAAAATTGGTAGAAAAAAAAAATTAAAAACACAAATAACACCCAAAGTAACAGTCACATGCCTTCTGCAGCATAGGAGCGGTCAATTGCTTGTTGATAATAAATTTTGAGGACTACAAAAAAGGTCTTTCGATCATACTTGTCTTCGTTACGAATATGTTTTCAGAGTAATCCACAGGCGAATCACGCCCAAATAATATAGTGTTACTAGTGCCTAAAAGCTCACTTTTTCGCACGCACTTGTAACGCATTCTATTTTTTGAAATTCCAGCCGGGTTCACTTTTCCGGGGGGGGGGGGGGGGGCAGTGAATGTAACGTATTTGATTCTTTGCACAAAGTGCGTAAAGTGAAAGTACAATGGTACATTTTGCGGTCTAACATACGAGTGCGGAGTTTGCGGCGCGAAACGGTTGAATGACATTAGTAAAATTTCTAGCCTAGGGAGGTAAAATAAATGAATCTTGCCCACGTGGTAAGCACGTCGGTAAAAGACAAGCAGAAAAAGAAAAATCTTCAGCTAATTGCTAGGTGGAGTGGTGACCACGAGGGAACACCCCGGAAAGAACGATGGTTGAAACTCGGAAAGTAAAAATAGGAAGGAACAGTATCCGTAAAAACCGAAAGGTATATGGTAATGCGAAGAAGAACCACATTGTCATGGATGGGATTGTTCCCCTTACATATATTTTTCCTCAAAAGAGTATTCAAATATTTCCTTCGAACCCCCTTACTCCGAAAATATCCACAAAAGAAGAGCACAACTCTCTAAAGACGTGTATGAAAAATACAACTTTAGCCATAAAGCCGTAGAATATCATTTATCCATTAGGACTGATCCAGTGTGTCGCTTCGCATATCTGAACCTGTCTTTCATAGCTGTGTGCTGGCTCAGCATTGATTGACAACAATATATCAAGAAACCTTTTCTCCTCTCCTTGACGATGTCCAAGTATCTTTTGCAGTTTGGTAAAGACCGCACTATAGATTCAACCATCTTCAATTATCAAATTTCTCAATTAAATTGCGTGAGAAAAATTTGAAAAAAAATCATGAATATTCAGATAGATCATTCAGATTACATTTTGCGCAGAATTATTATTTTTTTAAGCATTCGTTGATCATAAATGAATGATTGCAATTGTTTAAACATTCTAAAACCCCATTTTTCAGGCATGAAATCGATTTCTAGGAAAATTCTGAATATGCATAAATTTGTAACGATTCCGATTTTTTTTACAATAGTTATTTGTGTCACAAGGCCCGTAAGTGGAGGTTTGCGATGAGTGCTGCTAACTCACACGAATCGCAAACCGACACTACGGGCCGAGTGGCACATACTATTTTTTGTCATGAATGCCCGGGGGTGTGGGGGGGGGGGAAGAGCGGGGTCCAGGGGCCGCAGGCCCCGGTGGGGGGGGGGGGGGCGAACCCCCCCCCACTGAAGAAAGACCAAATAAACAAAATTGAAAAGAGGGAAATGATAAATGATAAATTCTAAATTAACGGACCGATCTAGAATGAAAAAATGAAGTAGAATGTGTCACAAGGTAAAATTCAACTATTTGTGCTGACGTACTTGCTGCGTCGTTGATTGTTGACAAATTGTTTATAGAAAATGTTCGTAATTGTCAAAAATTGCAATTTTTAAGTGATTCCACCAATCTTTCTCCAAAAGTACATTTTCTAATGTTTTTCAGCATTTAAAAATGTTTTCTAAAGTTTCAATATCGAGATTCAAGTTCAGACCAACAAAGTTTAAATAATAAAATTGTAAAATATCCGGAAGCTTCGGGTCAAATGGGGCTCAAATGAAAGATTCTCATTCGACCACAAAAGTATTTTCTACTTTTGTTATGCTTTTGCATTTGGAGAAAAAATAGCCAAAGTACTTGGATATCCTTAAATTTGGAATTAGTTTGCAACTCTTTCCTTCGGAGATATTCGCAAAATAGCAAAGAACAACTCTTCAAATATTATAAAAACTCAATTTCTTATATTTATTAATAGAACGACAATTGAAAAACTGTATACAATTCGATACATCGTTCAATCACATTGTGTTAACATTTTTATGTATAATCATGATATCTACAATTGTTTACAACTATTCTTTTTCTGATTTCTCCTTTTCCTTCTTCTCATCATGACTCCTTTTCCACTTGAGTGAAGGTGACTGCACGGAAAGATCATTCAAAAGTCCCGCCGGAGGTAGATCCCAGGCCAAAAGGTCACCTTGGGGTTGTACGCGAGTAGGGAGGTTGTCCTCGATGACAGAGGCAAGGCCAGGGTCGCGAAGGTCCGTGAGACCTTCAGGTGGAGGGGCCTGTCCACCTTGACCCAGAGCGACATTTATTGCTAGTGGCGGGAGCACTGATAGGGGGAGGGATAAACTATTCTGTCCGTTCTGTGGACTGGGTAGACTAGGTAGGATGCTTTCAGCGGTAAGGAGACCTTGGGAAGTCAGTATAACTGGTATGGGGACTGGATAGGGCACTCCTTGGCGGACTGCCACGGGAACTGGGTAAGGTTGTTGAACGGGGACTGCCACTGTCTGACGCACTGGAACTTGCACTGGGCGATCTACTGGATAAGGGACCGGCTGAAATGGATCAGAAAGAAAAATCATAAGCGGCTGCATCCTCGATGCAGCAGTTAAATGAGATTGCCCATGACGCGACGTTGCCGGAAGCTCTCTAAACGCGCCCGGGCAATGTAGAGTCAATTCGGCAACGCTAAAGCGTAAATAACGTGACGGGGAATCCCCGTGGAGGTGACCAATCGCAGGGTCGCGTTTGGTGACCAGACTAGGGTTAAGGGGTAACAGAAGGCCACTGTGTTCTCGAAATTTTCAAACAAATTTCCTGCTCAAAGTTGTTAATAGCTTTTGAACCCAAAGGACATTGATCTTCATCATCGCTTCCTGAAGATGAATGTGCTTTGATTTGTAAAAATATCGATAACTTTGAGCCGGAAATTTGTTCAAAAATTTGGAAAATTAGCGGCATTCTGTTACCCCTTAAACTTAAGGGGAAACGGAACCCCTGTGTCTATGCGAACTTTTAGAATTGTGTTTTCTCCTGGAACTGTTTTTTTCTATTTATGAAACTACTCCATTGATTCAACAGTGCAATGATCGAGTCGATAAAGTAATTTCATACATAAAAATTAATAATTATTGGGGAAAACACAATTCTAAAAGTTCATATGGATACAGAGGTTCCGTTTCCCCTTAATGTGGAAACGTCTAGGTTATTATTCATGTGCACTGTTACAAAAATTTGTTTCAATTTTCTAGAAAAAGACCTTCAATTCGATTTAGGAGAAAAAAGACGTTGGAATTTCAAGTTCCTCTGACAATCCCAGGAAAGTCCCATTTTTTCAGGGACAGGAAGACGGAAATTCCACCATTTGCATGAATTTTCAATAATTAATTTCGACAATTAATATTCACTGTCAAATTCCCTTGAATTTTGAGGGAATTCCTTTAAATTTCTTGGAATTCCCGGAATTTTTGAAGGAATGCCCTGGAAATTCCGATAAATCTTAAATTTAAAGAAAAACTTCTGAGTTTTCATTAATTTTCCCTGAAGAATTAAAGTGAAAGTTACAGGTTCCACGGTTTTTTACATGAACTTATGAATTTTCAATGACAAAATTCCTAGAGAAATTGCAGTGGAAATGTTACTTGTTAAAAAGTTCCAAGACTCTTACCGGGAATTTCAGTGAAAATTTTTTAACAGTGTGGGTGCGTCGCCGTGTCCGTGTCTTGTGAACTGAATTGAATGTTTTAGAAAATGTGCGAATGCTCTACAAAATCAAACAATTTAAACAAAAAATTTGAAGTTCTATGTGAAATTCGCTGATTTGTATTGGAAATTCTATAATTTCACCGGGCAATATTTTGATAGAATGTACGATGAAAAAGTCAATAAATGTACATTTT